TCAGGATGCGGGACGTATACGGACTCTTGATGCTCTGGTCCAGACTGCCTTCAGCTCCCATCAGCCGGTGCCAGAAGGACACAGAGTTCTGCTGGACGTCTCTTCTGGCCGACAGGTTGGTCTGAGGGAACACATCACGTTTCAGGAACCAGAACTTTGGTCTGGGTCAGGCGTCATGAGACTTCTGATGCTGTACAGGTTCTGTGGTCTACATTTACTGACATTATGACCTTCGTCTGCTGCCTTAGTGGTTAATATATTTTCAGTCAGTTAAATTATTAATGGCAATTAACTGCTACCGTGTCGCTGCAGCTTGTTTTGTGCGTGTGACGTACTAATTATATTTTAAGATCAGGATCAACGATTAATCTCCAACATCTCTGCCAGACTTGTCTTCCCCGATCAGCACAGCGCCCCCTGAAGGTTTATACAGGTAACGCGAGCAAACTGCCATCACTGTGGAAACGACTGCACGTACCTGGAAGCGGTCGAGGATGCGCAGCTCCTGGCTGTTGGTGCAGTACTTCCCTTTGACTCCGCCTCCTATCAGTGACCCCGCCTCCTGGGCGCCATAGATCCCTCCTACCAGGCTGAGGGTGGCGCTGATTGCGCGGTCGACGTCCAGCAGGGGGAGCCCTCTCTGCCGCTTCGCCTGCCGCACCAGCAGCTTCCTGTGCAGGCGTTTGGCCTGCGGCGTGACGGCTAACGCCAGCGGGCAGGCGTCCAGCCGCCGCAGCAGCATCCTCTCCTCGTACAGGCTGAGGGGGGCGTAGCAAGGACTCTGGGAGACACCTGCGCCGCCGTCAGCTTTCTCAGGGTGATTCATCCTCCTCCGCTCGGGCCCGCCGGCACCACCACACCCCCCGGTGGACAGCGGGGGACCTTCACTTCGTCCAACTGGCTCCTCAAAGTCGTCCTCACACTCGCGGCCTTCGTCGTCCTCGCTCTCAGCTTCACGTTTGATGTGAGGCGGTGCTGGGCGGAGCTTCTTGCGGGCGGCGAGACTGGCGCTGGGAGGAGGGATGTATTCCATCCCCGGGTCGATCATCCCCTCCGTCTCCATCTCCTCGTCATCTGGAAGCAGAAGAGAGGAAACGCTATCAGCGTTTGCATCATAATAACAGTAGGGATACAAATTCTAACTATTTAAGCGGTAGTGTCATCAATCAATAATCAATAAACTGTTCACATTAATGATACACAGGAAACATTGATCCATGCACTGAGAGAGCGTTTACTGACTGTGGACGTGTCATTGGCTGCAGATTAGCCAGTCCACCCTAAGCACACCGTCTTTAAAGAGCTCTGAAGGTCACTGACTGACACAGAGGCCTCTGTGGTCTTTTGTTAGTTAAACCCCCACAGTGCTGAGTACCACAGGTACCACAGGTACCACAGGTA